AATTGCCAAGAGGTGGACATGATTAAATACATCCTCCTCCTCCTCCTCCTCCTCCTCCTCCCTTTGCTCCGCCGAGTTCCTCAGGGTGGGATCCAGGGGTTCCAAATCCCAAATTCAGGCTGATGTGAACAGTGAGAGACGAACTTTCCCCTCTCGGCTTTCCTGCGGAAAAGCTCCCTGTCAGGGAATGAGGATTTCATAGCTGCCAGCCGGACGTAAGGTTGTAAGCTGTAAAACTGTAAGCTGCTTGAAGGAAGCCGACGAATGGCGGGATTTCTAAATTGGAACGAACCGAGTCATTGTGGCCATGAGTGGATTTAACTTCTCAGCCAATTTCGAAGTCGGGAAGAGACTCTCCCCCCCCCCCAAAAAAAATCAGCCTTAAAAAGGGATCAAAGATTCTGGTTTAAAAGGCCGGACAGATGCGAAGGGTGTGAGTTTGCTTTGCGCGCAAAAGGGACAGCTAAAACCAAGTTGCTAGTACACATTGGGAGGCCCACTGGCCAGGAATTTGGTAGATTCAAAGCGGGTCTTGGAGCCACCAGGTTGTGTCCAAAATGCAGCGGCCTCCGGGATGGAATTTCTGAAGGAGGGAGGGCAATTCTGGGGGAGCTCGGCTTGCAATTTCTTCTCCCCCCCCCCCCCAATCTTACCCAGCACTTCATTCTGGGATGCATGGAACTCTTATGTCCGTCTTCTCTCAGCCTTTCTGGGACCCCGTGGGAGCCGCCCCCACCTCCCTCTCAGCCGCCATCTTCAATGGAGATCCCTCACCTGCCCCAACCCCCCACCAGGAAGCCCAGCCAAGAAGGTCTTACCTGAAGGCCTCCTATCCCACCCACCTGCTCTCTCTCTCTCCATCTCTTTTGTCTCCATCTATCCCTCTCTCTGTTTCTGTCTCTCTCTGTGTCTCTCTCCTTCTCTCTTTTTCTCTGTATCCCTCTCTCTCTCTGTGTCTTTCTATCTTTGTCTCTCTCTCTTTCTATCTCTCTCTGTCTTTCTATCTCTGTTTCTGGGTGTGTGTCTTTCTATCTCTCTCTCTCTGTCTCTCTCTCTCTGTCTTTCTATCTCTGTCTCTCTGTCCTTCTATCTCTCTCTGTGTGTATTTCTATCTCTCTCTTTCTATATTTGTCTTTTTATCTCTTCGTGTCTCTCTCTCTCTCTGTCTTTCTATCTCTCTCTCTCTTTCTGTCTATCTTTGTCTGTCTCTCTCTGTCTTTCTATCTCTTCGTNGCAGAGTTTAAATTTAACACAGTTCGAAAGCGCGTTAAAAAATGCAAGTAGAAAAATAGGAGCCACCTTTGGTGGGAAGGGAACAGCGCTCCGTGAGCCTTCGGTGTTTAGCCATGCTGGCCACATGACCACGGAGACGTCTTCGGACAGCGCCGGCTCTTCGGCTTTGTAACGGAGATGAGCACCGCCCCCTAGAGTCAGGAACGGCTAGGACATGTGTGCGAGGGGAACCTTTACCTTTTAACCTAGTTACAGCTGGCATTTTAGCGCACGACCGGGGAGGAGACAAGAGGAGAATTTGTTGGCAAGCGAAACAAAAAAATAATAAAAATATCTTTTTCGCAACTTGGTTTGCGAAAGGCCGACGGTGTTTGTGCTGAGAACATTTCGCAACGGCTCGCCCTTCCCGACAATTCGGGGGTTTTTTTCTCCCCCCACCACAGGTCCTGAAGGTTGCAACATTTTCATCTATCACTTGCCGCAAGAATTCACCGATTCGGAGATCTTGCAAATGTTCCTCCCTTTCGGGAACGTCATATCGGCCAAAGTTTTTGTCGACCGAGCGACCAATCAGAGTAAATGCTTCGGTAAGGAATCTCCTCCAAAGCAGGGGGGGGGGTCTCCAACCTTGGCCACTTTAAGGCGTGTGGACTTCAACTCCCAGAATTCAACTCTGGGAGTTGAAGTCCATCGGCAAAGCTGGCTGGGGAACTCTGGGAGTTGAAGTCCACAAGGCTTAAAGTCGCCAAAGGTTGGAGACCCCCCTGCTCCAAAGGGTAGTTTGAGCCCGGCGGTCTCTACCGTCTTTCCTTCCTTGGTCCAAAGGAATGGCCATCAAGTGTGTTGCTTGCGGGGGTGGCAGCAGATTCAGACAGTGAGGAGGGTTGGGGAGGAACCTGGAGTCTGGGGAAGGCTCTGATGAGGGCTCTGCGTCGGAGGCAGAGAGGCGGCCAGAGCCGTCTGACAGTTCCCAGTTGCCTTCGGAGTCAGACATCAGTGAGGCAGAAGAAGAGCTGGAGCCTGTTCCCAGTGTGCGCATGCACAGAGTCGCCAGACACGAAGGGAACAGCTAAAGAACAGGAGCCGACTTGGGAGGAAGGCCACAAGTGGACGGTGAATGGCCCCTCCCAGAGGACATAAAAGAGGAGCGACAGGGGAGTGGAGTTTGCAGGAGACCATTAGTTCGCTTAATTGGTTCGTGACTCTCCGAAACTCCTTGCCAATTTTTGCAGATATTGGCATCTCTCCAAGCCAGATAAGGTCTGTGACCGTAAATCCTCCCTCGAAAGACTTTGATGGATGCGAATGAGCAGAATTCACGGGAAATTAATAAACGGGTTTTTTGTTGGGACGAAGATTTTGCTTCGGGCTCTCGGGAAGCCTCGCTCAGAACAAATCTTGAGAAATACACCCGGGGGGGGGGGGGGAAGCACTGCTGCCACCTCCATTGTGGGGTCTCAGCGGGGGCCCTTCCCATTCTCTTTCTCCCCCTCCTCCCCTTCCCTCCCTCTCTTTCTCTCTTTGTCTCTCTCTCTCTCTCTCTCTCTCTCTCTCTCT